AGAGTTAGCGGATATGATTCTTATTACTAATAAATGTCACTTACGAATGTTACGTTTGAGTCTCATGATTTGATTAAGCATTTCTTACATTTACGCAAGTCCATTATTACAAAACAATTTACCGTCAGATGTCTCTCTGGGTACGAAATTATGCGGAAGCGGCTTTTAGCGCTGCGCAAGCGCTGAACGAACTGTGCGGAGCGTGTCCGAGCGCGTGTTCACGTATTGGCGCACTTGTTAGCACTACAGATCTACACAGCAATATTTCTCGTAATCAAAGACGGCTACATACACTTTTACAAAGGTATTTTGTTTCTTTTTTATGCTTCTATGATGATTTTTTAATTTAGTATATATTTATAACACTTAGTGTGACTAGTGGATGAGAGTGCGCCTCTCAGCCCAGAGATCGTACCGTGAAGGAAAACATCGTGAGGAACCCCATGCCTTTCGCCAAAAAATCTACGGCGTGTGTCAGGCACAGAAGGCTGATCGCTTGTTTTCTGGCCCTTGCCTATTAAAAAAAACAGATCATAGGAAATTAAATCTAAAAAGTATTCTTAGCTATTCCACTATTAGCATTATTGTTTTCTTAATATTTTAATTTTGTGTATTGTTGTCTTTTTATATATATTTTATTGCCAAAATTGACATATTAAAAGTGAAAAATTGCAAAGATGTAACGACACGAACAAAGGAAATTGCCGAAAATGTCTGCGCCTGTTTCATTTATTATTTTTGTAGTAGGCAGAGGTAAGCCAATAACCGATAAAAATACGATTTACAGATAGCATCTTTATGTGGGCCTAATAATTAACTATACATTTTATTGATTTTTAAATCGTCACATTGAATACCACAAATAGTTTGAAAAAAAAAAACATCTGTTTTAAATCATTATTATTTATAATATCAGGTGTTTGTCTATGATAACGTTTAGGCCCTAAATCGTTAAAATGGTTTAAAACCCTTTCTTAACACTGAATTTGATTTATCACTGAATATTTAAATTTTAGACTCTTAAAAAACATCTTTTTTTAATGTAATTTTCACAGAATCGTGGCTGACAGCATTGGCCCTCGTACTCGAGAATCCGTGCAAGACCCAGATGGTAATTATGTACTGCAACTGTATTGTCTGTTATAATAATGCTGTGGTTCTACCTGTTTATGGATTTGAGACATTCCGGTTTCCTCACGATGTTTGCCTGTACCGTAGAAGCAAGTGCTAATTATATAAAGAAAATTCCATTTGTTGCTACGATTCGAATGCAGGACCGCAGCCCGCAGGGATGACGGTCGCACGCTTAAGCCTCTAGGCCGACACTGAATTCTAAGTGATACATTATAAATTAATTATTTTGTTGGATAAAACTTCAGTAGCAAAAATGTCAAGCAACACCGGCGATACTGATGAAAATTTAACTCCACCTGACATTCAAGAAACAGCTACGAAACTGACGAATAGTCTTTTGCCAGAAAAATCAAGAAAAGCGTACGACAAATGTTACCAAGTCTTTATGACTTGGAAAATGACCAAAAAGGCTAACTCATTTTCCGAAAATGTTTTGTTAGCCTACTTTCAAGAGTTATCGGATAACTTTAAGTGTCCGTACTTATGGTCTAAATATTCTATGATTAAAAGTACACTGAGTATTTACAACGAAATTGATATTCCTCGCCTTAATTGAACTGCCTGCGGCTTGTTTCAAAAAACTACACTCATGTTTTAATACCCTCTATTATATTATAACAGTTGCATAAACTACTATTATAGCTTTATTTTACTACAATATGCCGCTATATCGGAACGAAATATTTTGACGAGACATTGTAAATTTTTTTTTCTTTTTTTTTTTTTTTCTTTGTTTAGTTTTTAAAAACACATTAAAATCACCCCTCTTAATTGGTTTTTGTCTTTGTTGGGGCCTTTTTTCTCCTTCGTTTATATTTAATATTAACTCACTATGAAAATTGTGTAAAGTTCTTTAAACATTAAACATTAAAATTAACTCACTATGAAAATTGTGTAAATACACAAAAATGTTTTCAGTGACCGAGAGCGTGTTTTCGAGTTCGTCCGAGTCCATCAGGAGCGGAGTGAGCGTAGCTAGCGGATATACAAAGAGACTGTCAGCCTTCAGGCGAACGCTTGCACCGAAAGTCCAAGAACATGCGGTATTTTTATTTAAATTATTCAATTAATTGAACTTTATTTTAATAAGAAAACACGGTCTGTTGTCTTTGGACGTTAAGAATATAAATTTGCGTTTTTTTTCTCTATGCTTATTTAAATTATTTTGCTTTTTTTTAACACAATTTAATTATGTATTATTAAAAAGTTTTTATATTTATAAGAAAGCATAAACAGGGATTTGTATTGCTAGCATACCTACTGCTACTTCTTTTATTACAAAAAATGTTATCCGGTGGAATGTATCTTTTAAAAGCTAGTGGTTTTATCTAAAGCTTGCTCTTATTGGAATTGAGATAGTAAAATATAAATTCATTCAAACACTGTTTATATCTATTTGTCTTTAATTATCTATCTTTTATTTTATTTCAGCTGGTTGAGGATATTCCAGAACAAGGTATATTATGTAAAAGTCGTTTAACATTTTCTATTAACACTTGCTAATTTTGCAAATCCGTAAGGATAAATATTAAACATATACCATTAAGTAATAGTATGTATGATGTAATTTCAATCTGTGGTCTTTCATAGATTTTTAGGGAAAGCGTAATCCTCTCAAGGGCCGCTTCATATCAATAGTATCGCGGTTGTTGTTTGTCCCTATTTCATGAAATGTATTGCTTGAAATCCAAATTAGGATTACCATCTCGGCAACTAGATTACGAAAAACAAGAAGTCAACAGCTTTAACACGAATTTGACAATGTATAACGATAATGTCTGCGTAAAATATGAAAATCCTGCAGACTCATTTTTCAGGCAGTGCCAGATTCAGTTTGAGTAAACTCATGGATATAATTAAGGTTGAAGCAAAAATTAAGTTATTTTAGATGCAATTACATTAGGAAATATAATTTTTACTGTGAGCATTAGCTTACCAGCTGTCTTGTTGAGTCTATGTTGCATAATGGCACACATTAATCATAAAATTCTCCAGTTAGGGTAAAATGTATAATAAATATATGCTTATATATTACTTTTTCATCTTTAATGAAAAACACAATATTTAGTCATAGAGATTGGCATATAAAAGCATTGTGAAAAAGTTTTAATATATGTAGTCACATTCTTTCCATTATTTATTATTATTATTATTTTTAGCGCGGCGTTCTACGGTGGCATTGCGCGTAGTGACGCTGGGTTTGGAAGAGTCTACTTCAGTAATGCCTTACCCCTCCATCAGTGCAAGGTCTAGAAAATCCTTTAGATAAACATTTTATATTTTTATTAACCAAGAATCGTGTTTCGAGTTATTTGTACCTAGTTTATAGATTTTTTTGTTTGAAATAAACTCTTTAAACATTTTTAATTATTGTAATTATGTGTTGCCTATTCCGTTGCTCATTATTAAATATTACACAAATTCTAACCAAAAACATATTGGGAGACAATACTCACTATAAAGGCTTAAGTAAAAAAAATACGTATCGTTTCTACAATCATATTTTATTCCCTTAAAAATTTGTCTTTTATAATAGCTATACCAAGTGCGTTGGCAAGAAAAAAAATACTTATCAGGTGGGTTTTTAATATTATTGTCAACAGCTTGCTTTGTTGTTCAAATGAATATCTACTATATATAAAACATTGGACAATTACTGGTACAGTCAGATAAAATAACAAAAATATAGAGTAAAATAATTTTATAAGTACATGTTTTATACTGTACTAACTTATGTTTCATTAAATAAAGATGTATATTTTTGAAGATATCAAATAACTAAAATACAAACAGATGTCCCTACCCAACTATATTCAGAAGGCACAGGAGCATATTTTTTACAATAGCCATGTTTATAAAGATTGAATTAATTATTAATTTACCAGTCTTAAAATAGTTTCAGCTTGTGTTTGATAAGCCTACCAAATTAATGATACAGTAGTGAATCCGCTTGACTAAATTTATTGCATTGAAAGATGTGTTGCTAATATGTATATATTATTTTTTCCATGTGGATTGTTGTGAGTTCAGATATGTCTTATTTAATGACCAGCTCATGAGGTGTTTACAAAAATTGTCATGTTATAATATAGTATTAAAATTAAAAAAAATTGACAACTGCTAATTAAGGAACCATCATAATTGATACAAAATATTTCTATGTATTAAGAAATACAGGCCTATTTAAGTAAAGTCATTATTCACAATTACTTTGTAGACCATAAAATTCACTAAACATGTAAATTATTTATATAAATCTAACACAGTGTAACAAACATAGTTTAAACAAACATTTTATAAATATCTAATCATAATTTTTTTATGTAGTTTGTACATTAGTTACAAATTCGACACAAGTTAATTTTTTTTCTTCAACATAGTTTCAGACCAGTGTTCATTAAAATCTAAATTTAAATACTGTTTAAGTTGCCTTTGTTAGCAAAACTCTGTCATTGCTATAAAAACTCAAGTTCATTTCTCTAGATCTAAAAATTCATTGATTTTATATAAAATTCATAAAACTATTATTGCATCGAAATGTTTATTCAAAGATTTCAAGGAAATAAATTATTTTTCAACTTTGGATAAGAGTGAACACAATGACAGTTTTCATTTTATAACATACTATTAATTTAATTCTAACACTGTAACTGGACATTCACAATTGCATTGTATCCCTACTCAACATAAAGGACATAATGACTTGAATAAAAACTACCCAAGCCAAAAAGCATAGGGAATTCAATTGAAACTAGTCCATGTACAGGCCTGCCACATATCTCACTAAAACTTGTTTGTTGACACTTCATTTCACTACACAATCTTCGGTACTCACTTACTTCAAACAGTGCTAGAATATCAAAATGTCATAAATCAGGAAAACGTAAAGGATCTTCTACAAAGTCTTCTGGAACTACAAATAAATGAGGAGGATTGTTATCACGAAACTCAAAGCTTTGGAACGTTATCTTGGCTGTAACTGTAGGCAAGATTGGTATATCAATCTTTACAGGAAATCCTTTTGGTAACTTCATTGCAATAAACTGCCTTAATTTAGCAAAGTGTTTAAAAGGTGCTATAACCTCTAAAACATTAAGTAGCATGTCAACACTAAGTGGAAAGTCATCACTCATGGCAAGAGTGGCGCGGAAATTACGTGAAGATTCTTTATACACAAGTTCCCTTCCTAGACTGGGGTATTCACCTGGAGGTGATGATATGTATACATTCCAATCAACACCAGTTTCCGGAGGAGGGTTTAGGGACGCCCGACGGACTGGCTCTCCATTAGTATCTAAATTCTGGGTGTTACCTCTAGTCCAACTTTCTATTATTGCTTTATTCTTTTGTAAGTCATCTGTTGATAAGTGTTCTCTTCTTTTCCTGGATTCTAAAACTAGACCTGTTATTGTATATACATCACTTTTATATATCCCTGCCACAGTTTCTTTTCGGTCTTCTCTAAATATCCAGCCTGATTGAGCTCTAGAAAATAAGATACCTTTGGTAGACATTTGAGCTGCTAAAATATCACTGGACATCAAAATGTCAACTTCATCTTCAATTTCATTTTCTGTCTCCTCATAGCGTACCTTCTGATACACCTTGGCTTTGTTGTCTAACACAGTTAGGGACTCACTTGTTGGTCTGTCTCCTTGAAATATAAAGGACAGATCTCCCCGTTCCCACTTCATATCGGTGAAATCAACTAATGTAGTATCTAATCTGATTCTAGATCCAGATTTATAGATTTTACAAATATCTGATGGTAAAATTCTGGACACCAATGGAACCCAAGAATGAAAATCCCATTTAAGTTCCATGTAAAAATCTTGTATCTGTTCTAATGCCCTAATAAGATCAGGTCTCCTCAACTCCATTTGCTCTCGAGCTTGCTGTTTAAGTTTACGTACAAGTGATGAAATTGATTGGCGATCACCATAGCTAATTGCTTCAGCAAGTGGTGACCACCCAGCCAGGTTTTTAACCTTCACAGGTGCCCCATGAGCTAGAAGCAGTTGCACGCAATCCTTTCGCCCTAGCATTACCGCCAAGTGTAGCGCTGTATTTCCATGCTTGTCCTTTTTGGTGACATCGTTAGTTCGTAGTAATGATGACAGTTTTCGAACATCGCCTCCGAAAACACATTCATGGAGAGGAAAGGTGTCTTCTTCATCTTTGCAATTGGTTTCAGACATTGTATGTTATTTGCTTCTACTTCATTACTAGACAGTTATCAATCGTAGTAATATGTAAATGTAAAGATAAGATTAGATAGATTTCTTCGAATATTTTATTCATATACAGTTTCAGTTCTCAAACACTTTAAACAGAACGGCAAGTTAACATATTTTAAACATCATTATAAATTATTAAGCAAATTTATTTATCTAAATAAATAAATTAGAGAGTAAAAATGATTTTTATTCCACGTCATTTTTTTTGTTAATGTTTAATTGTTATCACAGAACTTCTATGCACAGATCACACTGAATATTTGAAAAAAACTGAAATCTTGATCTATTTTAAATGTTGCCAATCTCTAGTGTGAAACAATCTAAAATAGGTATTCAGTATATATACATTATCGTTTTGCGAATTGCATTAGATAGTAAATTTATCAAGAAAGGCTTTAGGCTATACACGTCACGTAATTTAGAATTCGCGGTTGCTAAAAGGTCACTTCACTTCACTTTATTTATAATGGCGACATCTGTGTAAATCACAATTCCTCCAATGTCACGTTCTAAGTCTTCACACGGTGAGGATAGATTTGATAATTTTGATAGATTGAATTTAAGCAGAGTTACCAAAAACAAAAATGACGTCACAATAAAGACAACACACACACAGACATCTAATAATATATATCTAGTAATAATATATATACAAGAGGTTAACATTTTACTACTTATGTAGGGGAGAATCTTATTTATAACTTTAATTTATTAACAGAAATAAATTTCTCTAAATTTTTTACGATCGGGCTGGATGGGAGGGAAAGTAGGGAGTTAAGGTTACATGGACGAGGGAAATCTGGAGAAAGATGGTCAAATAACGAGTCATTAATTAAAGAACAGTTAAAAAATATATGGTCTGTCGAGCCCTCGTCCATACCACACTCACAGAGAGAACTGTCATTAATTTTAATTTTGGCTAGATGAACGGGAGTACAAGCGTGCCCTATACGAAGACGGCAGATTATAGACGTGAACTTTTTGTTTAAAAACTTATATTTAAAAAACCACGGCGAAGAAGGGATTGAATACTGAATATTAGCATAGTGCTTGCCAGTTTTTTCTTTAGAAGATTGCCAATCAATAGTCCTGGATTTTAAAAGGTGGGAGTACGCAAGAGCTGATAGGTCGTGGGCCGAGATGTTAGGATGCTGTCAAGATCCGCAGAAAATAGTACCTTTTGCACAAGAGTCAGCAGTTTCATTACCCGCTATACCACAATGACTAGGTATCCACAAAAATACAATATGAATATCTTTTTTACTACACCTAAACAAAGCTTCTCTTATTTTTAGAATCGTATTATGTTTTTTTTTAGACCTGAATGGATTGGAAAGAATTGCCTGTAAGCAGCTGCGAGAATCGGAAAAAATTTCAACTTTATTCAGGTTGTGGGACTCAGCATACAAAACCGCTTCTAGGATTGCAAAAGCTTCACCTGAAAAAACGGAGGTCAGTGGAGGAAGTTTATAGCTCAATACTGTTTTGTATGAAGGGACCCATACAGCCGCACCGATGCACTCATTACTGGGAATCTTGGAAGCATCAGTATACATCGATAACCAACCCTGCCAGTCTTTTGAAATATTTTCCAGAAAACAAATGGAAGGTTGGGAGGATTTTTTTTCAATTCCAAAGTTTAAAATTATTTTAGGATCAAAAATGAGGGATTCATAACTATTTAAAAACAAGGGATTACTAGGGAAACTTTCAACAGGATTAGGAAGACGAGAAAGTTTATTAAAAATGTGTAATAGGCATGGAACATTACCTGTACTAGATGGCATCGTGAGATTAGATAAGCGACGTAATTTGGACAAGATGGAATGTTAAGAGTATTGAAGGCCTTGATGAAGTAGCGGTCACTTAAAAATTGTCTACGTAAATACAGAGGGAACACATTCTATTTGGAGAGCATTGATGGGAGAGGATTTCATAGCACCAAGGATGATGCGTAAAGATTTCGATTGAATTTTGGAAATTTTATCAAGGGCTTGCTTGTTGCCAGGATCTAAAAGGAAGGAGCCATAATCAAAATGACTTCGTACCACAGCATTGTATAAAAGCTTTTGCGAGTAGGGGTGTGCTCCCCACCTCACACCAGATATTGAACGGAGAACATTAACACCCTTCTCACTTTTTTTAATCACATGGTTAAAATGAGGAACACCGTTTTACTTTGAGTCTAAAATGAGGCCTAAAATTTTACATGCTTACAACAAGATTCCGAGGACCCTTTATATGAAATGTTACACCGTGGAACCTTGTATTTTGTTGTAAACGTGACCGCCGAACATTTGGACACAGAAATAGAGAGACCATGATCATTTAACCAATCACCCAAGTAATCCAAAGCCGAATTTAGGCGTGATGATGCATCTTCAATAGAATTTGATGAAAAGTATAAGGCTACATCGTCCGCGTATTGAAGGATCTGACAGAAGGAATTCACAACATGCTCCAGATCATAGGTGTAAATGTTGTACAGAAGAGGACTCAAAACAGAACCTTGAGGTAAGCCCCTCCAAATAGATCTAGGATACAGCTCCGTATTTTGGGATCTTATAATAATATAACGATTCGAAACTGCATTGCAAACAAAACGTAGCAACTTCTCAGGAATACTCAGCTGAAGCATTTTTTGCCTGAGCACCGGAACCAGCACGTGGTCATACGTAGATGCGATATCCAAGAAAACACCCACCAGGAACTGTTTCTTTTTAAAAGCAATGCGAATGTCGGTCGTTATTATACTTAGACTATCCATCGTACTCAAGCCTTTCCTGAAACCAAACTGGGATTTTGCAAGGATATTGTTACTTTCACAAAACCATTCTAAACGAATTTTAATCAAATGTTCCATAATTTTTAAAAGACAAAGCAATAATAGAAGAGAAATCTGATGGATCTTTGCCAGGTTTAAGAAGCGGAATGATGATTTGTCTGTTCCACGATTCAGGAATAATTCCAAGATCGAAAAAACAGTCTACTAAATCTAGAAAGTACCTCTTAGTGCCTAATGAAGAATTAATGAGGAATGAGTAGGGGATTCCATCTTCTCCAGGGGAAGAGTCAGAGAGACCATTTAATGCTTTGTTAAGTTCTTCCAAGGAGAATTGACAATCTAGACTGTTTGAAGAGGGGATGTAAGAATTATACTTATAAGGAAGACAATCATAAAAAGGAACTGATGGAGGAGCCAATTTGTCGGCAAAGGAGGTAATCCAGCTAGACGGATCATTAAAAGGGACATCATAAGAATTGAGGGAACAACGGAATCTTCTGATCTGCCTCCAAACAACAGACGAAGGGGTACCAGGGCACATGCTCTCACAGAACTTATGCCAACACGACGTTTCTTATTATTAAGAAGTCTGCGAGCAGCTGCAGAAGCTTGTTGGTAGATTAAAAAAATTTCCAAGGTCATGCAAAGACTGTATGACCTTTCTGCCGCTTTTCTTTTTCGAATCATCTCAGTACATTCGGAATCCCACCAAGGAGGAGAAATTTTCCATTGTGTAGAAGATTTGAGTGGAATATGTAAACTGGCAGATGAGGTAAGGGAGTTGACAAAATCATTGTATGAAGATAGGTAGATTTCAGCAGAAACTGCGGGGAGCGCAGCTATCTTAGAGTCAATAAAAGATGAAAAGTCTGACCAATTGGCCTGATTCAGTTTAAATTTTAAAAGAGGGGAAGGGCGAGTATCACTCCTTAAATTGCTTGGGAGATCAATTAAAATGGGGAAGTGGTCACTCCCACAAGTGGTCTTAAAAACACGCCAGGATAGAAAAGGGAAAAGATCAGGAGAACAAAGTGATAAATCCACTGCGCTAGCGGGATTCTGAGATGGAAGACTCCTTCTCGTAGGACAACCATTATTCAAGACACTTATGTTTATATCATCGAGTAAATCTAGTAGAAGGGACCCAAAAGAATCTGAGGAATGACAACCCCAAGAAACATGGTGGGCATTGAAATCACCCAACATGACAACAGGAGGAGGAACTGAAAGGATAAAAGAACATATATCAGAAATGAGGTCGAAATGGGGGTGGGGAATATAAACAGAAATAAACGAGATACTAAAAGCTCTCATAGCAACAGCATTAATACCATCACAATGAGGAAGAGATAATGAGTGGAAGGTGAGGGATCGGCTGACCAAAAAGGCACAGCCAGCATAGCCATCATCCCTGTCATCTCGGAGACACCGATACCCAGAAACCCTAAAGCGGGAACCCGGCAATAACCAAGTCTCCGAAATGGCTAGAATAGATGGAGCGAATTTATTGATAAGAAAGGTTAATTCGGATTTTTTACTGCGAATACTGTTACAATTCCACTGAATTACCAGATTCGCCATTTTTGGTGACGAATGAGTGGAGCAAATTAATTTTTTGGGCAACGTGGGACGGTATGGGGATGTCATCATACTTAGTTAGCATGTTACAAATGACTGCCCATAAGCAGTCAAGAAGATTTTCATTTGGGGAGACTTCATTGTTGTTAAGGGAAGGGGAGCTTACGGCACAACCATTGGGTAAAGAGGAGGGTAAATTGGAAGTAATGGCCTCATGAGCCGCCTTATCAAAGGATTTTCCTGATGTTGGCCTAGAGCGAGGATGGAGAAATACAGTTTTCCTGTATGATGTAGTCTGACGGGAAACTTGGGAAGGTATAGTAATGGGCTGGGATAAACTGAATGAAGAGGAGGGGGTTGTTTTCACAGAATCTGCAAAAGTTTTGCCACTGATAGGTCTAAACCTAGCCGATGCTTCGAGATAAGAAATGCTTTCCTGAGACATACAATTCTTTATATTTTTTTGTCGATTATGTTAAGGACAACTCAACTAGGGTAACAGCCACCACGGCAACATGTATTGACAATATCTATAGTAATATAGTTCCTCTCAACGCCTGTATTATCAACAAACTTACATCTGACCACTCTGGTCAAT